TCGTCTGAACTTGCGCATCAAATCGTCAGATACTATGACAGCCATGTTCGCTCCTTTCAGAATCGTATAGATAGCGCTGTTCTACTCCAAGCACACTACATAGCGTCTATCACGCCCGCACCGTCATCCACCAAGAATCACCCATACCCCCCTTCTTGGGACCTTGACAAATCGGTCCTGCACAAAGACATCCGCACCTTCCTTAAATACACTGAACATCTCACTACCTCTGAAGCATTCATTGCTTGGGTTCAAGACAGTCAGTCCTGGCACCCACCTGAAGGCTTCACTGAACCATTGCGTCCTTTGGGTCGTACACGCTCAAGAGCCTCGACAAATACCTCAGTATCGTCATTGTCATCAATTCCTGAACCGATTCCTGAACCAACCCCTACACCCCAAACTCCCGAGGCACTATCTGAAGAATCAGTTGTGCTGGTAGACGTCAACCTCAAGACGCCTGAGCGTCAGGTCGTCGAAGACGCTAATATCAAAACACCTCAGACCTCAAGACGTGTTGTTCCTGGTTCATTTCCACTCACTGAACGACCTGGAAGAACAGCGGCAACCACACTACCACTACCACCTCTGCCATTTCCAATAACGAATTCTCGTCTTATTCTAGAGCCAAGACAGAGCGGCAATCCGTCTCTTAACCGTTCACCAGAGCCAAGCAGCAATCCGTCTTTTAACTATCCTGAAGTCCTCGCTCCTGACTTTGAGACTAGACCCCAAACTTCAAACGATTCCTTATTGTCACGTCGTAAACGTCGCTTTACCGAAAGAATGGTTGGTGGCGGTTCGTCTGGAGTTGGTCCGTCTGGAGCTGGTCTGTCTGGTATGGCAAATGTCCCGTCTGGGGATGTTCCACCCGATCCGCTAGCTGCAATACAGCAGACGCTCGCTCAGTTGCTCGGACGTATGGATAATTTTGAGGAACGCCTTGCTAATAACAATAACCCACCATCACATCATGTTCGCCACGTTGAAGTCCCTGTTAACCCTCCGGAAGAAGACTTGAATGCTCGTACAATGTATGTCAAAGACATGAAGCCTGAAGACGTCGGTTTCTTTTATCCAGACATGGACGGTGATGAACCTGTGAAGCAAATCGGCCGTGACATGTTCTATAAGGATGTTAATGTCTTTGTCGATCGCGTACGCGATGTGGTTAAGTATCGTGGTGAAAAACTCGTCAAGAGCAATTTGCAGGCTTGCCTACGTGGTACTGCCCTGACGTGGTTTACCTCTGGTATGTCAGAACTCGAAAAGTCGATGATTTCAGAAGCAAGTCTGGAAAACGGGTGGCTCAAAGGTCTTCTGGATCGATTTCGCCCCAGTCCGTCTGCGGCTCTGTTGAAGCTGGACCGTATGCACTATGGATTCAATGACGTGAATACCAAGCCGATTGGACAATTCGCTCAAGACGTGATACGGTATGCCCGTGCAGCCCGCATGGAAGATCCATTCAACCAGCTGTTATGCCTATGGAACCGCATTGATGCTCGTCTTCGTGTCACATTGACCAAGCCGACAGAACAAACGTCTGTAGGAGCATTCCTGAAGGAGCTAGATGACCAACAACAAGAATGGGAAGATCTAGTCCGCACAACCAACAGGCATGACAGTCGCATGCGTGGTAATGCCCCCCAGAACCAATCCCATGGTAACCAAGGACCCCGTAATCAAGGATATCCCCAAGGACGATATGATGATCGTTCAATTAATCGTGACTACCGTGATAACCGTTTCCGCAATGCTGACAATGCCCAAAGACACCCCCCTCCCTCGTTCCAGAATCGGTGGCAATCGAACTGGCAACAGAACTCGTGGCAGCCGAGTAGCCAGTGGCAGCCGCATCGTGACTGGCAACAGCGTCCCTACCAAGGTGGTCAAACGCAATACGGCTCGCAGTCGCAGCCGCAGCCGTCGAATCAAGGCGTAAATAATCGACAACCCTGGAATCAACGTAATGATCGTCTGGGTCAGAGTCAACAGTATGGAAATCGTCAGAACCAAAACACTAACTACAGAAACGCCAACTACAGCCAGCAAGACGCCCGGTCTAGTGATAGCGATCGTCCTGGTAATCGCTCTGGCCGCTACCGCAACAATGCGTATATCGCCATGACTGATCCTACCTTACCTGACGGTGTCAACAATCCTATCCCCGAACAGTACACTGGTCCCAATATCTATGGTCCCCCTGGAGGAAGGTCGTCTGCCGGCCCTCCTGACTACCCGTATGGTCCCGAATACCAATATGTAGAGAATGACCCGTATGGCGATCATGATCAATATGATGACAATTACGAGTATGATGATCCTGGTGATGAAAGCAATGCGTATTACGAGGATTATGGCAATGCTTATACAGCCGAATACGTCGAGGACGACTATACCAAGACTCCGGGCACAGTCCCTGTCACTACACAAGACGATGCGTCTTTCGTCCCCTGCAATAATTGCAACGTGTCTTTCTCCTCTAGTAACAAGCTTCATGCTCATTTAAAGCAATGCGTCGCATCCCCTCCACGTGTTGAACCTACTAAGCTTATCACCAAAGATGATTCTGTCATTGTGTCAGATCGATATGACCAAGAAGTCGCAGACATCGAGACAGATGGTTTTGTCCTGCAGTCTCCTAAATCTGCTACCGCGGAAGTCGGTTTAAATACTACATCTAAATACACCAAGGTCTGCATTGACA